AGAAGGCACAGGCTGGGCTGAGGGACCCCCCACCCCCGAGTGCACAAATTTTGTGCACCGGGCCTCTAGTCTATATATAAAAGCCTAAGCAACCATCTGACTGGTAGCTAAGACGTACACTGACCACTAGGGGGCAGGCGTTCAATGCAGTAGCTGCCGAGCTGTGGTGACTTGGCAGCTGCAGTTCTCGGGTGACTCACCCGGAACCAGAGAGGAGGGAGCTCAGTTCTGGGGTGCATCACTTGAGAACCGCCCTCTCGCAATCCAGGACCCCTCAGGGGATGTCAGCAAGCTGGTTTCAGCCCAATCCCCTGAGAGACCCCACCAGTGCATAAATCTGTGCTTCAGGCCTCTAGCCCATTGGCTCCCCACTTTGGGTCTGGCTCCCCACTGGGCCTCTAGCCCATTGCTGAGGTCATGGGTCTGCCCCTTACAGAAACTTTTCAACTCGATTAGCTAAATGATGAGACGCGCAGGACCCACTGGCTGCGGCCCCCGTGCCAGCCCATCCTCTTAATATCGATTTCTAGTGGAGGCAGCAAATTTTCCCACTACTACTCTCGGCTGGGAAACCTGCCGCGGCTTTCCTCTTTCCAGGCAGACAGGAGTGCTAGCAGGCAACCTCCTGGGAGGGAAGGAGGCGAAGGAGCAGCTCGGGTGGGAAGGAGGTTCCCGCCACAAGACTCTGCCTGGGCTTAAGGGCCTGGGCCAGAGCCCGACATTGAGCAGGGTCCTGCTCTAGGCCAACTAGATTCCAGGCTAAGTAAATCCTGTTTGTTAAATAATTGCATTTTGCAGCTAAATGCCTCCACGTCATCAGTTACCACCAAACAGGGTAAAGTTAGATGAAAGAAGCGAGACAGATAAGAGAAAGTCACATAATATTGGGAGAAGAGAAGAGGAAGCCCAATTCTGGGGTGCGTCACCCGAGAACCACCCTCTCGAAATCTGGGACCCCTCAGGGGATATCGTAGAGCCAGTTTAGGCCCAATCCTCACAGGCCAGCCCAAATGACCCCACCAGTGCATGAATCCATGCACCAGGCCTCTGGTAAGTATATAAGTACAGCTTTAACTGGAGGGTTTTTATTTTCACATATAGTAAACTTCAAATTACTCTTTCTAAAGATGAGATTTTACACCTTATTTTATGAAAACCTGTTCTATAAAATCTGAAATTATAAAACAGTTAAATTGGGAATCACTTATTTGTATTAGGAAAAATACTTTTAAAAGGCTTCAGAGGAGGGTTTGGTTTTGGTTTTGGTTGGTTGATATTTAAAACTTTCCTGGTCCTTTTAAAATACTCAGTTTCTTTGAAATATTTCTTGTTTTCTGAAGTGAGGTATATGTAAATGTCCAGATATTACATAAACAGTTTAAACTATTATAGAATATTACATCTTTTCACCTAACTTTTATGTTATTCTCTTTCCCATTGTTTGACTTCTCCATTTTTTTAACTTACTCATTCTTTTTAATAACTGTCCCCTCTCTAATCTTTTTCCTGTTTTATTTTTTATATTTTCAGATTTACTGAGCAGTTTTAAATTTCTAACTTTATCTTCTTCTTAACCAATTTACAACACTACTTTTCTTTGACATCCATCATGGGATATTTTGGGAGACTGAATGAACTAATAATGCCGGAACATACTCTCATGTCTTGAATTCTCATATTTTCTTCTGAGAGACTATTTTGGGTGAAAAAAATTGAATCCATTTTAAAGAAAGTTGCTAGTAGTACATAGATACAAAGAACAAAATTGAATAGGTAGTGTCACCTTAGAATGAAAATAAAAATACTCTGCTTACCACTGGGTATTAATTTTTGAATTGTATAATTAAAAGATAATAAGCATTAAGTTACATGTTTTAAAAATAAGTTATCTGGCATTCTAAACCACATTTAAAAAATAAATCATTAAAATAGGTCATTCTGTTTTCTAAAAAGAAGGCTGATTGTACACTTTTAACAGAGAGAACAAGTATGACTTAAGAAAAATATGTTATCACTATCTTATCAGCTCCCTGTGCTTCTGGGTTTATTAAGCTGACATCAACTATACCTCAGCTTGTAACTATATAGCTTCTACCATAGGCTGGATCTGATCTGTGAATATTTGATGTCCATGTAACCCTATGGGAATTCACTTGTGGTGTATCGGCTTAGCGTTTAGATTTGGAGCCTGGCATACTCTTGCATTAGCCAGGCTGAATCTTGCTTTCACTCTCCCTTTAATAAACATGTAGCATTAAAGCAAAATTATTAGATTAAATTTGTTGGCACAGAAGGAGAAAACGTCCTCCTTTGAGGAAGTTCATGCCATTTGGACATATGAGATTAGAAGGACTTTGTATTGAAATGAATAATTTATGTGCATTGTATTTCATAAATCTAATAATTGAATAAGCAAATAAGAAAATGTGTGTTTATCATTGAAAAAAATCAAAGTTTAGTTCACATTCTATACTGTTCCAGAGGTTTAGAAATATA